TTGTTTCAAACTAGGGCTTTGTTGGATGCTGGTTCCTCAAATAGCATCACCACCGCCTGCTGGGAAGACTCAGCTGAGTTTATTGCCTGCGGTGGTAAGGGAGAACTCCACCTCCATTGATCCTTAGTGGTGACTTGAATGGGGAAGGCGAGAGTGGACTTTACGGAGAACTTGAAGTTTGGTTTAATGATTGTCTTTTAATCCAGGGAAGGGGTGGTAGGCAGGGAGGGGAGTTTGATGAGGATTGGGTGTGGACTATGATATAATAGTTAGACATTGTTTTAGGGCTTAAACTGTCGAGAAGAGTTGATGGGTCTTCAAGGAAGTTCCCATAATGAACAGTCAGTCATTTGCCTGGATAAGTAAGTGGAATATTAAAGTTATGCTACCGAAGGCAATGGGATAATAAAATCACGTTAATGTGGCCAGTAAGCTGTGTGGAGAGGTAGAGAGTTTTTGTCCTCACTGTCTGGGAGTACATAGTTTGTGTTCTGAGTTTAGTCGAGAGGTGTCAGAGGCAGAGCTGAGAACGATAGATAGATACTCCAAATAGCAGCTGCAGATCCAAATTACTATAGTTATTAAAAGTTAACTCCCATGGGTACTCACCAGGGAAAGACCCATTGGTCATTTATTCATTCATTTAATAGATGAATATTTATGGGGCATATAACATGTGCCAGGCACTGTGCTAGGAGAAAAGACAGACCAGGCCCCTGTCCTCTCAGACCTGTCACCCCAGTGGGATGCAGTGTTGTCTGGATCTCTTTCAGATTACAAATAACATAACATCCCTGTCCACCACCTGTCCCCTATATTAACTGGAGGGTGTGTATAACTCAGATTCTTACTGCATGCGTAGTCCAACAGATCTTGAGTTTTAGGATTTTCATTTTTAGTTTGTTAAGATTAGGCTTAGTTTTAAGGTATGCTTTGATTTTTAAGGAGTTCCTGGGCCTACGTTTTTATTTAATGTAGGAAAATTTATTCTTTTACTATTTCCAATGTAATATTTATTATGGGCCACCTATGTCCCAGACGCTGAGTCACTGCAGTAGAAATACAAATATACAGCTACAAGTGTGCAAATACTCTATACAAATCAGGAAATTTAAACATACACAAATAATTGAGATTTTGACAGTCAGTTGCCATTCAATTCCACAAATTCTGAATGACATCAGCTTGCCACATAGGATGTTGGATGTTAAGAAGAAAAACTTCAAGGAGCCCTCAGCTACAAGCTGATGATACAGTTAGGACACAACCATAATATAGGGCGGCCAACACCACAATGAAAACTGAGACACACAGACCAACCAAGAGCCCATCGTCAAGGGGCACATGTAAAGGGACAAGCCAAACTTTTTAAGCAAAGCACTGGGCTGGCTTTGGCAACAGGAAAATAATCCCAGGGATCAAATAGATGGGTGAAAGCACTGCTGTGAAGTTCGTGAAGGACCCTGGTCTCCAGTATTCTGGATGTATGAAATCCATTTCTGTCCCAGTTTCTCATCAAAGAAGAGCAACTCTGAGGACAAAGTGTGGAAATGGAGGCTGCTTTCCAGCATTGGCCTCTGAGAGCCTGCCCTGCTGGAGTAGCACCATCTCCTTAAGGGACACCTTGGAAAGTGACAGTGTCTGTTTCCAAAGGGTGGTCTGTTCCTAGCACTTATTTTCTCTAGATGAAAGGCGATGCAAACATGCACCATAGTGGGTGGAAAGAACATTGTGTCTCAAATGTATGAGACAAATTTTGTAAGCAGAGGAACTAATAGACGTTTGTCTTTCTTTTCAGGTGCTCTTCACAGAGAGTCTCTTCTACACCTGGCTGTGAGATGGGGCCTGCCTAAGCTTGCCCAGTTCCTCGTGTGCCTCCCGGGGGGAGTCCAGGCTTTGGCTTTACCCAACGAAGAGGGCTCCACGCCATTAGACTTAGCTTTAAATGGCGGGCACTCCAAGCTGGTAGAAGACATCACAAAGTGAGTGACTACTTGATAGTTTCTCTCTTGATCTGTTTCTGTTGGGTTGTCGGAAAAGTAATGACACATTTTTGCAAAGAAAAACAGAAAAATATGTCATGACTTTTCCGACAACCCAATATAAAGTCTGCCAAGCATTATGGAAAAATTGAAATCAAACCACAAGCTAATGTTGGTGTATGTATTACCATTAGTTCTCATGTATAAAGTACAGATATGAATTGTGATCAAACAATACGGTGAATGCTGCTGCTGAGTGCCATCCAACAGAAAGGTGGGAAGCGGTGCGTTGAACCTTAGTAGCAGTATGTGACAAGTTTCAACATGTCCGGTGCAGTCAATTGAGTGTGAGCTACTGTTGAGAGAAGGTGTGTTTTATTTTTTTATTATTTTTTTATTTTTTATTTTTTTAGCTGAGCCATCCTGCCACCTGTTGGCAGCTCAGCAGCAGCTCAGCTTGGGCCGGGCATCGAACCACTGTTGCTCAGAGTTCACACTCTTGAGTGAGCTCTTAACCAACTGAGCCACTCGACCGGCCCAAGAGAAGGTGTGTTTTAAAGTGTGCTGTAAATCATCCTCCATCATGACAGCACTCTATGTCACACATTGCTTCTGGTGTACGGCAATTTCTGTCAAATAAAAATATTACAGTGTGTCCGCATCCAACTTATTCACCGGATCTGGCACTGTGTGACTTCTGGCTCTTCCCCAAAGTCAAAATGATTCAGGACATCAAGGTAGCCACAACAGCACAACTCAAGACACTCACAAAAGAGGACTTCCAGAACTGCTTCAGAAAGTGGCAAGAATGATGCGATAAGTGTGTTCAAAGTGAGGGGGAGTATTCTGAGGGGGATTAATGGCAATGTGTCTTTTATTGTAATACATTTAAAAAAATTTAAACATCCACTGTATTATTTGATCACACCTCTTTTACATATAGGACATAAATAGATATAAGATATATTTGGTATTAACACTTCTTGTGGGAGAAGGAGTTAGGGAAAAAGTCTCAGAAGGATCTATAGGGAGCTATAATTAATTTAAAAAAACCTAACCCCTACTTACCTTTCAGGTTTCAGGTTAAATGTTATATCTTCAGAGATTTCTTCTAAGTTATAGTCTTTTATGATTATAATAAATTCACAGTAGTAATTGTGATTAAAATTATTAATTCATATTATTAATCATAATTTATAATTTTACATATATAGTGATCATCTGTTTCATACATGTCTCCCTCTTAAAATCATTCTAGGGCTGAAACTATATTTGTTTTACCCACTGAGGTGTTCAGCATATAACATTCATTGAAAGAATATATATTTTTGTTGAATCAATTAATAACAGGCAAACCCTAAGATACTAGTTAGCCAATGGGTGGTTATCAGGATCTAGTAAAATAATGTTAGAGAAATAATTTGTCAACTGTAAAGTTCTCTATCTTTATGATGATATCCACACTTTCAGTGAATAATGAATGTATTGTTTGTTACTTGGAATGGTTCAGATCAGTCATTCTTACCTTATGAAAGGAGGATTCATATATAGTGATTTTCTTCACTTAACATGTGATTAAAAAAACCAGTTAAATGGGAAAGTACATTGAAAATTACTTTCCCAAAAAGTGCTACATAAATATTAAATATTGTCAGCATTATTACAGTATTAATAGACTGCTTTTTCTTGTTTGGCTCATAGAACTCAGTATAATTAATTTGTGGTTATATGATGCATAAGTGGATGTTGGAGTAGAAGTCAGAGCTTTCTGTTTGCTTTTTTTTTTTTTTTCCTCACTTGGTCAAATGACCACCAACCAAGGGAAGAGCCCATCCACAGGGACTTGCTCTTTTCTTTGCTAATGTGACCCCACTCTCTTGACTGGAAAGGGTAAGGCAGGGCTGCTTCCTTTGACTTAGTCACTGTGGATAGTTCAGTGTTCCATTGAGGCCCTGAAGGCTGACTTCATCATCCTCGATAGTGTTGTATCTTTCTATTGCATCCAAGACCAGAAGATTTTATGTATTTGAAAAGTTTACACATTTAAGAAATCCATTCATGAAATGGATTAGAAGAAAAAGCTAAATTCGAATAGGGAGCTTTCACTTTCTAAATTAATAATAGTGATCTGATTGCTCAGGCTCAGAGTCTGTTTGCCTCAGTGGCTTGTCTTTGGCATAAGAAGTTGTTTCCTGGAAGATTCTGGTATCCCTGCCAGTAACTAGTGTCAAGAGTTTTGGGAAATGCCCCAAATCTTATGATCTCTTTCTGTCATTCCGTATGATGGAGATAACATTTATTTGATTAGAAGTACACTGTACTTTTTTGTAAAGCAAGCATTCATGAACAAAAGGAGGTCGTGGAAGAAGCAGAAAGAGGCATGAGGAATCTGGGAGCTTTCTGTCAGGGTGTGACATGCCGAGGTGGGCTGTTGTCTGGGAGTCACTCACATTTTCCTCCTGAGGCTGCTTTACTGTTGCTATTATATGACCTCATAAGCCATCCAGAGTATCGTGATACTAACCATGAAGACTACATTTGGCTAATCAATGTGCAATTGTTCTCAGCCAAAACAGAGCAGAAAATAAGCTGATACTCAAGAATTTAGTTTGGGAATATTGTTCCTTTGTTTATGCATGTATTCAAGAATACAACACGATCAAATTTATGCATGATTTAATTTGCATGAGAAAATGATTTGCAACAGTGGGCCAGTGTGTTATGAATATCTCACTTGTTTGTAACATCCAAACCTCACCATGTTCCCTGGAGATCATATCTGTTTTCCACTGTAACCACCTAATAAACTGTTGGCTACTAGCTAATTGCTACTGCATGTGGCCCCATTGAAGTGAGAGGCATCCTTTCAGATTGAGAAGAAGGATGAAATACTAAGGTAAAGTACTCTGTTTAAAAGTCAGACTGCTTTATTATTTATAGAAATCTTTAAAGTATATGATATATGTGCATGGCTTTTCAGTTGACATCTTCATTAGGTGGTAAAAGAAGGATGGCTTTATTAGGATATGTTTACACAATCTTATGTAATTATTGTTAGTAGGTGGCTTTCCAGGACCGTTTTGCCAGTTGGATTTGTAATACCAGGGGCAATGAGGGTGCTGGGATCTTGGGGCTGGTATCTCTGAAGTTGTGCATGGTTTTGATTTGTGACGGTTCAGTTTCCAGGGCAGACGTTCCCCAGGCTTCTCCCGAGTGCAGCTCAGCGAAGATGCCTTCCTGCAGTATATTCACTCGTCAGAAACGCTGACCCTGACGCTTAACCACACAGCCGAGCATTTGTTGGAGGCAGATATTAAGCTCTTCAGGAAATACTTTTGGGACCGAGCCTTTCTCATCAAGGTTTGTGCCCCAGTGTCCTGGCATACAATAACATACTCTTTGAGAGTGCAGGCGGCACTCATTGTTTTGGGAACAGCGTTTTTCTAATAGAGACTTGGAGGACATGGAATTGGAAACTGTTACATCAGTCGAATGAAGATCATTATGTAATATTTTGGCAGTAGAAAATATTGGGTCGTTGGGAAAGTCATGACGCATTTTTGCATTGAAAAACATAGAACAATAAGTCATGACTTTTCCGATGATTTAATAGCAACTTATATAACATTCTTGTTTCTTTTGCTTTTTATAAGCCAGCCCTGCCAATGTTGGGTTTTCATATTCTAATATTGGATTATTTTCCATGAATTTATTGATTGTATTATAATTCTTATCTAGAGCAGTTACATTTAGGGATATTTTCCATGAATACTATCTACATTTGGAGTTTCTTATGGCTTAGATGTAGTGAAACATTAATCCTCGTGTACAGATTGTTCTTATAAGGGGACTGGGTCATTTGAAATCACTTCTTTTTCAAAGAGGTTTTCTCCCCTGCCACCATGGGCCAGACACCAGCATTGAGTGCTATCATAGCATCCCCATGCCAGGGTTTAAAATGTTTCACCTTCATTTTAATTTTTTTGTGGAATCTGGAAGAATGTAAAGAATATTTATATCTTTTCATTATTATTAAGAAAAGTGTTATTTTGAGTAAAAGGACTTGAGTCAGTGTAGCTGGCAGTGCTCAGGGGTGTAATAGATTCGCTCACCAGATCTCATGACCTCTGTGTTCTCAAGCACACCCATTAATAAGGCACAGGTTTTATAACTGTATAAACTTTACAGAGTAAATACATAAGGAAATTGATACTATATATCATGGTTTTTGTAAAATGTTTGCTTTATACAATGAAAGATTTAGCCAAAAACACTATATATAAAATAAACACTAGTGTTGGCTTACTCCATATAGGGTTTTATTTCAACAATTAAAATGAAACATGCTCTTCAGCTTATGAATGGCATCCCTTAGTTGGGCTTTAGGGAATTTAGTGTATAATTTTCTGGCATACGGCGTTTCCTCATTTTGCGTAAGGATACTTGTCATTTGAAGATCCTAAGCCTTCAGCAGTCCCTGGGGCTTCTCACCCAGGCCCCTAGATGTGGATATCCCGGCTGGGCAGAGGCTTGGCCTTGTGGGCAGCGTTGCTCTGGATGAGTTCCGCTCCCTGCAGCTCCATCGGGGCAGAGCTCAGCCACATGTGTGTCTTCAGAACGGACGCTCTGACCGCAGCATGGCACCTAGTGACAAAACCCCTGAAAAAGATAGAGTGTGCTCTGTGTATAACAAAAATTATTGAACTTTATTTTCATTATTAAGTTGTCCAACTTCTTAGGTTGGACTTGTGATTTCTCATAACACACTTGAGATAACACTGGTGACCTTGGGGAAGATTTAGGATGAGCCAATTCAGATGCTTCAATAATTTATTGTAGTGGACTTTATAATAACAAAGACTAAGTGGAAATTGCTTTCCAGTTACTTGGAGATTTTCATTTTATGAAAAACACTGAGAAAATTTCTTTATGATAAAACGTTGATAAAGGGATCAGTTACAATGGAATGGACCTTGTGTTTCAGGTGTCAGCACCCCTCTTTTTGCTTCCTACCCCAAGTTTTGTGGCTGGGTAGTGAGTGGGGAGACCTGTAAAGGAATAAGGCTGAGATTCTTGGGACATTCAAAGTCTTTAATTCCTACCTGCCCGAGAAAAATGTTTCTGTGCTATTCTTGAATTCAAATTTTTTTTTTGTGGTACTTCTTACTTGGCTAGATGTTATTTTAAATGTAAGTAGGTGGTAATTGTGATATATAATTTATTGTCCACACTAAAGCTTTGCAATTCAGGGTAACAAATATGAGATTATGTATAGTAATAAAGTATTCGTGCTTTATGAAATCTTAGATGTCTACAAGTCTATTTTTATGTATGACTTTGATGTGAGGGACTAATTTATTTTCAGTGAACCACAGCATATCCGCAGTCTTGTGAAGGAGGCATCTTCAATTTTAGGGTTCGGGCATTGCTTAGTTTTCTACAGCCTTCTAGAACAACAACAATAAAACCTTGCTGCAGAAACCTGAGTTTGCTTTCCCATATCCAAGAGCCATTCAGGTGACCCTGTTCAGAAGCCATACTTGTTCAGCGTTGTTAGGGATTCATGTGATCACATTCTATGACAGCTGACGCTGGTGGACTGATCATTTGTAATAAATATTAAATGTTAACAAATGACAGGTTGATGCTACACCTCTAAGCTGTAAAGGTAGATATTAAGATATTAAATACTAGGCAAAATCTTAGCTATATCTTTTGATCATGTTTTTGTTCTCTCCTCATAACAGAACTTTTTCTGTTAATCAGAGTGCTGAGAATGTAGTTCTAGATGTGCTGAGCTTTAATCACATGCCCAGGAGGTTCAGGGGTCTGTCAGTTGTAGGGTAGTGCACCCAAGGTTGTCCATGTGATTGTTTTGAAATACGTGCTGATACAGCCTTGGGCTGGCTTACCATTTGACACATCATTCCATGTTTCTTCACATTGTCACTGACTGTGGAGAATCCATAAAAAAAAAAAAAATCCAGAGGGTCCCAAGAGGGTGGCTTCTTTTTAAGGCTCACAAACTCAGTCTCAGGCAGTGACAGCTTGCAGCCCATACTCATCCTGGGCCCTCTCTCTGACGGTGGTCCTACCACATCATCTGGGCCCCCGAGATCCCTGAGTCTTAGGGTGTGGATAGGGATTGGCCTAGGCAGGCAGATGCACGAAACTGGCCCTTTGTTCCAGTTTTAAGACTTTCTGCTATCTGTCCCCTTTTTGGTTCATGCACCATGGTCCTGAGAACCTTCTGGTTTTGTGACCTCAGGGAGCAGCAGGGGACGAGTTTCAGGGGCAGTTTTGGCCCGAGCCTCCGGGCTCCACCCGTATCTCTCACTGTCATCCTGGGTGCTGCTATCTTTCCCAACCTCCCTAAGCCTCCAGGCTCCCCCTGTATCTCTCACTGTCATCCTGGGTGCTGCCTATCTTTCCCAACCTCCTCAGGCCTGTCCCAGCTCTGAGATCCTTGACTGTGATTTTCATCTCTTCGTTGCATATTTGAAGGCTCAGATGGTATTCAGTGATTTCTTTTTCTTGCTTTCTTAGACTCTTGAAGAGCAAGAAGCCAGGCCAGAGGAAAGATCAGATATGCCCTCTAGTGCTGCAGAAACCAAAGAAGGTAAGCACGTTCCTTCTCCACTTGAGGCAACCACAAAGTGCGCGGGACTAACCAGCTTGCTGGTGGTTGAAGTGTGTGGTGAAGCCGAGCAGGAACCAAGGGGCTCAGAGGCAAGATGAAGGTTGTGGACACAACATGGCCCCTGGGTCCTCTGACAGCGTCAAATGAAGTGTGATGTGTTTTTCCACTTTTTATTCAATTAGCATTTAGTAAGTGCGGTTTGCCAAGCCCTGGTCCTCCCCCGTTCCTGATCTTCAGGGCACTCTTTTGACACACAGAGATTATTCCCCCTCATTCCCAAGTTCAGTTTGTTCATTCCATTGAGCCCTTCAGCACTCACTTGTTCCACATGCCTAGAACCCCTACCCTGTGCTGGGCTGGTGGGTCTTAAAGAGGATGGAGGTCGTGAAGGTATTTCTATGGTCATGAGGGTTGGGGAGCTCCACTCGCCTGTAGAGGTGAGGGGCGGGGATGTGGAATGTTCTTTAGAGTACAGGTTGCCCTATAGAACCAAGGTTGTCCTAAGGGAGCTTTAGGGACTCAAGGTACAAGTCTACTCATGGTGGGAGTCCTGACAAGAGGTATCATTCTTATAACACGTTGTCACTACTCTTCCATGTCATAACACGTGGAACCACATCGATGCCTCACTGGTCTGTAACACCCAGCTGCTTTGATGGGACAGAGCACTTTTCACTTTCTTTAACTTGACCGTTTATCTGGGCAAGCAGTCTCTACATCAGTTCAGATTCTTTCCTTGTCACACACACAAGTAAGTCTGATCTGATAGCGAGTCCTAAGACTACACACAAGTTTTGTTTCTAGGGAGCATTCTTACCTCTATTCTTCAATGTTCCTGTACTTGTTGTATGGAATGGATTCTGATATTTTTTGTTTGTTGGTTTTTGTTTTATTTTCTAAAACACAGTAGTTCCAAGAATCTGACCCCATCGTTTTGCCTTCTAGGGTAGTTAGGGCTAAAGTTTTACATCTTGCAATACATGTTATCTTATTATCAATTTCCTTTTGCTTTCTATATTAGAGTATTGTTTTTATTGTTTGAGATTAAAAATGAGGGTAGTTGTAGATGTATTTAGGGGTAGGGGCATGTTATCTATTTAATGTCAGGATAGTGGAGGGGGCATTACAAAATATCTATTAATGTAAAGGGACATTGGTCTGATAGGACTGAGCACCACCATGCTAGATGCTGGGGTTAGGGAGAAAAAATAGGACACGATCCTGTTCCCTAAGCCACCAATGTTAATAGCTGGTTAATACCTTTGATTCTGCTTGTCATTAGCAACATAAAATAGTTGCATTCCATGTCTTTGTCCAATAGCATACTCAAACTCTTTGCCCCCATGTTTGTTAAAAACTCATCTTGGAGAAGGAAGATTGTGGCCCGTTGTTGGGAGTCTGTGTGGCTCACCCACATTGTGTCCTCCCCCGGCTGCACCTGCTTGAGCCCCTCTGGAGATGCCCTCACTGTTCTCTCCTGTGGGCGATGTGCTGGCTGCACTGAGGGAACTGCAGCTTTCCCTGCCTGCCCAAGGAGGCGGTGGGTAACTTCACACTTTGTTCTGAAGACCTGTAGGGGAAACCTCTTTCTGGTCTCGTGTCAGGCACGCTGGCTTCTTCTCAGCATTTGGCTTGCTTTCCTGCTCTAACTGTAACTGATCAGGTTTCTTGCTTCTAGTTGGCTGATAAAAAGTTGGAGCTAAGTTTCTGGCCAGCCACTTGCAAATGTGTAGGGTACTGCTGAGTGCATTTTTAGAATTTTGCAAAAGATTTTTATTAAAAATACAGCTAACATACAATATTATATTAGTTTCATGGGTACACCATAGCTAGTCAACATTTATATACCTGAAGAAGTGATCAGCATGATTAGTCCAGCAACCGTCTGACACTGTCCCACGCTATCACAATATTATTGTGCTGAGTGCATTTTTGAATAACCTTTATTTCTTAAGCTTCACCCTTGCTTTTCATTTTTTTTAAACATCAACTTCTGATTTTTAAATGTCATATATTTTACTTCCCTTGTAATCCAACTTCAAACTAATTTAGAGCAAAGTAAGATCTAAATATGTACTTAAATTCTAAGCTCCTGCCCTTAAAGGGCTGACAATTTGAGACTGGGACAGAAGAACCAGCTGTCTCAGCACATTATCATAAGTGCTACAGAAGTCATATGCCTACTCATGTAGCACTGTAAGAACTCTGTGGAGTATAATGGTGGAGTGGTCAGGGAAAGCTTCCTGGAAGAGATGAGCCTGGAGCTATTATCTAATAGAGGAAGGGAATTCTAGACAGTGGAAATATATGCAGTACAGAGTCCTGAACCAGATGATGCATTGGGGGAAATGCAGATCATTTTGCAATCCTGGAGAGAGAGAGAAAG